ATGAAGTTTGTCAAGAAGTGGGAAGGAATAAGTAATTATTGTATGGACCCTGTGGATCCTATTAGCATTCCCTACACAATCATTGAGGAGTGCATCAAAAGTGGTAAATTTCGAGAGGCATTCAATAAAATTCAGGCATGGTCTAGAATAGGAGGGGAAAAGGTTGATGTCGACAAACTCTCACGTTTACTTTGTAAAGAATACCTTAGAGTTGGTGATGTGTTTCAAGCATTTAAATGCTTTTGGTGGGGGGTAACTCGCCATGCTTCCCAACAAGTTCACCCGATCCTGCCGACGTTGTTTTTCAAATACTTGGAAGAGTGTGGAGCGTTCTTTCCCTTGCGCTGCACCCCATTTTTACAAGTCAATCCAATCCCCTGTTTGGCGGTACAACATGACAACTCAACTCAACCCTTAAATATGGATTATGAGAATATTATCAAGACACTAGTCGAGTTGGGGGAGTTAAACGAGGCTAGGAAGATGGTGACAGAGTGGGAAGCATCAGACAATCGGCGCAGTAGTAGTTGCGACAATCTGAACATTCCTAAGTTGATCATCGAGGGATATTGTAAAAAATGTTTCTTTTTGAAAGCAGAGGAAATGGCAGAAGCTTGGACAAGAGAGAAAAGGGGCCAGGTTGCAGAAATATGGTTTGTACTGGCTTCGCATTACCAGCTACATGGTAAAATGGTGAGAGGATTGGAGTGCATGAGGAGGTGTTTCAATTTAACACCCGGGCTCAAGGGCAATTACAATATGATGTGTTGGACGTTTATGAATGGCATTCAATATTCAAGAGGCATGATGATGATGATGAATGGCATTCAATATTCAAGAGATATGATCTCAGAGTATTAGTCGCACAATCTGCAACAACTTAGGTATTTTGTTCTGTTTTTCTAATAAAGTATTTTGTTACCGTATAAAAAAATGTTAGGAAAGATTAAGTATTGTGTATCTTTTAGGAAAAAATCAAATGAATACTCTTAGAAATTATTCAATTTTACACTAATATTCTAGATTGCCGACTAAGGTGAATATATGGTATTTTAAATGGTGACTGGATAGTTATTAAGTATGAGTTGGTAATTAACCACAAAAAATAGCTTGAATGCGTTATAATTACCCCCTCCACGTGATTTTAAAATAAAAATGTAATGAAACTAAAAAAAATGAAGTGTTTATATTATAATTAGATAAATTATGAATAGTAAAAAATTTAGAAAATTTTAAAGTTTCTAGAACGCTGAATTTATATTCTAAAGATCTTTTCAACAAATATAAATTTGATTATGATATACTATGATGGTGTAAATTAGATTCAGGGGGACAAACTACTCTAAAAGTCTAAATTGGGTTTAAGATAAATTGATGAGTTTAAGAGAATAAAAGGCTAAAAACACACAGAGTGACCGGGAAGATCGTAGGTGGAAACACCTGCAATCCAATTATTATTGAATATTGGGGAATGGTTATAGAATGCTCTTTTAGAGAGAGAAATTGGATCCCTATCTTTGAGGGTTACATAAGTATTTATAGTGGGAATAGGGGGGAACAGGGCGCTACTTGATCTTGTTGGGCCATGTGATGAGGTCACTGGTATTTATCTTGTTTGTCTTGTTCTCTTGATTGCCAATCAAGCGATTTATCGTGTAATACTTGGACATATCCTTCGGTGCAAAGGGTCCCTAGCGCTACTTTCCAAAATATGCTGAGTTGTGGATACGCGTGATCCTCGATAGATTACCCGAGTGGATAAGGCCACTCGGTTACACTCCTTGATTTATTCCATGAGCTGTCTGACAACAAGGGTATGAAATCCACCCGGGTGGTTGTTCCCACTCGATCTATTCTTGTTTCCCTCAGTTTCTTCTAAATGAGCTATTCCGGGTTAACCAGTCAGCCACTCTAGCAACCGATCTCGGTTCGGTTCCTGGGTAAGAATACACCCATCAATCTACTTCAAAATTTATCATTTTGTTCAAGACATTATTGTTCTTTATTTTTTCACTATGTAGTTACCAATATACGCTTAATAATTTATAATCTTCATTTAAAATGACATGTATTGTGCATAGTTGATAGCCTGAAGTATTGATATAAAATTGAGCAATTTCTGGAACAAAGGTGTAAATTAATTAGTTTCAGAATATTAGCATAAAATCACAAATTCTTTGAAGTATCCGCGTGAATTTTTTCTATATCTAAAATTAACTGCATTAACTTCAACGAACAAATATTACTATAATCAAATAACTTTTGTAATGTACGTAGTATGAATCATACTACCTCCGTCCCAGAGTATTTGTCCACTTTCATTTTTGCACACCATCTAATACACTTCTTTAATCCATTTTATCTTGTAATTTGTATATTAAAAAATTATAAAAATTATATATTAATAATCTATATGTTAAGACAAATCAAACAAGATCACACATGACTATATTTAGGCTTACACATTGAGAGAATTTGATGAGTCAAAGTGCTTAGATGAACAGTTCTAAAAGTAAAAAATGGACGAATATAGTGGGACGGAGGGAGTATATACTTTAACAATTCATGTTGTCTATAAAAATCAAATAATAATTACTATAATCTTTATTCCAATTTAATTTGTGTGTTTACTATTTATATGGTCAGATTTTAATCAAATGTTTACCTATTTTTGGTATAGAATTTTGATATAGTTTTAAAATATGAAAATTTTATTTTTTTAATTTTTTATCAATTTTAAAATAAATTGAATTAAGAACAACTTAAATCAAATCTCGTAAACAACAGACGATTTTTTTTGTAGAGGGAGTGATTATAATTTAATATGCTCCAATATAAATATTTTTCCTCGACTTCTTTCTCATTTCAAGCAATAAAATACTCCCTCCGTCCCTTAAAAGTTTTCGGGCTTTGACTTTTTTATGTTTTATGAAGAGTGTATTATCGGCTTTGACCTTCCCATTTTTCCCTCACGGGTTTTTTTTAAAATGTGATGTTTTAAATCAATGAATAGTAATTAATACAATAAAAAAGTAAGTAAAAAGTTTAATGTGATGGATGAGATATGGAAAAGTAGGGTTAAAGATAAGTATTTGTATCCATTTTTGACATTTTGAAATATTTTTTAGGATAGGTAAGAATGAAAAGTCGAAATGTTTGAAGGGACGAAGGGAGTATGAGTTTGAAATATGAGTAAATAAAAATACATCATTGATCTAGTTTACCTTCTCTAACCGATTGAAACTTGACCCAATTACTTCTTCAATTTGATGTCTAGTGCTCTCTTCAAAACATTACGTCAAACATTTTTCTCCATTGTCTTGCTAGTAGACGTGAAAGATCTGACCGACTCGCTATAATTTTTACTCAAAATCTTATACGAAAACATTGTTTTGAACAGTTATTAATCAAACCTGAACTCGACCTGACCGATATGCTAATATAAGAATTTTTCAAAATCATATACCTTATTATGAAATACGAGTATAACGCTATAAAAATGAGGTTGTTGTTATATTTTATTTCTTACTGCTCGTTTTTAATGTATATGATGGTATAAATATAGCTGAGTGGGTTAACCGGGTTTGACTTGGACACACTCGACCCGTGATATAAAACACACACAAGAACACAAAGTATGACCTAGACCGGGTAAATCTCCTCAGTCCGAAATATATTTCTTACTCTATCTCGAGAGTGTACTATTTTTTAGTGAGAGAAAGAATGGATCCCCTCCTCTATTCAATATCATCATATTTATAGAGGAGAATTTGTGACCTTCCCCTGTTGACCCATGGACAAAATAAGAAACCTAGAGGAAGGCCATTGTACATAATCTAATCACTGTTCAATCATAGACTTGCTACTAATACAACCAAGAAGCACTGTTTAATCAAAGACTATAAATGGATATTCTCAATCCAATCATCCCTGCAAGGTGATAAACATCCCTTTCACTGTTTGCCTCGTGATGGATGAGCGGCGGGGTGGTCCCTCGGTCTTTGACGTGGTTCGCCATGCCCGACAGACTGTATCATTGTTAGCCAAGTAAGAAGATATGACCGGTCACCTTTTCTCAAAGGTTACCCGGTCATTTCTTGGGCTCACCTCGTCTCTTTGGTCTTCCTGAATATTCTTCGTAACATTAAATAACATTTTGACTATCGCCCAAAATGTGACCGGTCACTTTTTTAGTGGAAGTGACCGGTCAACTTTTGACCCGTCCCAATTGAAGAGCTAACATCATTTTGTGAATGATAAAAGTGACCGGTCATACTTTGACCTGTCACTTTCGATTATCTGGGCCGGGTATAAGGATATACCCATCAGTATAGACTTATATTTTCGGAAAAAACATTAATGATGTTGCATAATTATTTGCTTTATTCAAATATTAGGCAACTTGTAGAAATATTATTAAATCTAAACTTGAATGATTTGATTACACATAGATCTGCTATTTATAATAGCTACAAGACTATGACCTAATTACGAGCCCAACAAGAATGAGCCCATTAACGACAAACCCTACTACATTCCTTAACACTCCCCCTCAAGTTGAGCATGAGATGAAGGAATGCACAACTTGGACAATTAAAACAAAACTAAGACTAAAAAAAATTGATAAACAACTTGAACTTGATCTGCTGTGACAACAACGAACGAAGGTGATCGGCCCTGCAAACGAACAATAAATTTTGACGACGAATGACTCCCACTTGGTGACACAGGGACGACTAACAAGCATCCCAAACTCACAAACTGATATGTCGAACTGAGGCGCGACTATGCGACCAACCTCACAAACAAACATGTCGAACATACAGCTGGTTGGACTTGAACATACGAAATAGCAACCAAAAACAATGTCGCCAAAAACATCATCAAATTCCGATGACCGGTAGAGTGAACATAAAAACCTTCTTCCTCGAAGCACGAACAAATCAAAACAAATTCAACAAAGTGACAAACCAGCAACCACTGTACAAAAACCAGTGCAGAAACCAAAGTAACCTTTTTTTACACCACTATTGACTAGTAGTTGAAAAGAAGCCTCAATCTCTTGTTAATGGCAATTGACCTACAGTACCGCGGTTGACTCTCTCCAAATTGAGTGGCAAACAAAGCATGTCATACTGGCCGAACAGGACATTGTTAGCTGTTGATTACGGCTGGATGAAACAAATCGACAAGTGCCGATCTATGATGATGTGACTGCTGATGTTGAACGGAGACAAAACGTGACAATTGGATCACACAGGCTATAACTAGACGGTTCCGGACAAAACGGGATGCACGATTTCAGCCAGCGAGCACAAGGTTGAAGCAGCGGTGCGGTAGATCGATGGATTTGCAGGAGGAGACTGACGGATCTGCTGGGCGAAGGAGGGAACTTCCGGACGGAGGGAACTTTCGGCGATGCAGAGACGCGCTGGCGATGCTGGACGGACGAATCTGCTAGAGGAGCAGATCTGCTGGACGACACAGATGAAAACGGACGGAAGAGGGAGGGACGGATGGTGCTTGCAGAGGAAGACGGACGGACGCTAACGGGATTGCAAAGATGATCGTGCATCTTTGCAAAGATGATCGTGCAAAGATAATTTGGCTTTGGACAACAGCCCGGCGGACGGCTAATGTGCCACAGAGAACGTTACCATGTAGAAATATTATTAGATCTAAACTTGAATGATTTGATTACACATAGATCTGCTATTTATAATAGCTACAAGACTATGACCTAATTACGAGCCCAACAAGAATGAGCCCATTAACGACAAACCCTACTACATTCCTTAACACAACTTTAATTCTTTATTTTAATTTACTCCTCACGTTCTACAAAACATTCTCTTTCATTTTTTTTCACTTTACTAAAATACTTCTACTTTCTATTAAAAACCATTTTTACCTCTATTTTTTTTACCATACCTATCACATCATAATTTTTTTCTAATAATCTATCCATCTTATATTACTTTTATTCATCACATCAAATGCGAAATTTGGAGTACAATTTAACACTTTCTTATTTGATCAATTGGTCAAAGATAGAATTATTTTCATGAACAGAGGGAGTACATACTTAAAAATTACTTCAAAATTTAAAATAAAATAAAATAATAGATTTAATCAAAAATTTTGATAATTTAACTTTATTTAATGCAAAATGCAGGTTTTAATACTAATTTAAAAACTTTAAAAACTAAAATCATAATTCAATCTCGAACCCTACCTGGTTGACCAATCTAGCCATGTTGTGACTCTGATGGTGTCATGACTCATGAGAGGCTACTCCCCCAAATCCCAATAGTTAATGCGTCGTAGGTAAATTAATGGACTTTTTTCTCTTTGAAAAAAAATTGAACTATATCGTGAAATGTGTATAGTCCCTTCGTCCGGAAAAAAAAAGTTATTGTTCCACTTTCAAAAAGTATAAGAGAAGTATTGAATAGTACGGAGTAGTTAAAAAGGTGTAGTTAGAATTTGATGAGAATTTTGTTTACCCACATGTGCTTTTCCTAGTAAGTAAAAGTAAATACTTCTTCCGTCCCTAAATATTTATAGCATTTACTTTTTCAACAGCCCAGGTGGAGATGTAAACAAATCAAATACTTTTAATTCGATTCGTGATTTGTATTCGAATATAATGATTCGAATTCGCATTATTCAAATACAAATTCAAATTCAAATATCATTTTTGATTCGAATATTAAACAAATACAAATACAAATATGAGTATATTCGATTCGGGTGATATTCGAAAATTCGAATATATGTATATACACACAAATCATGTTTCAACATTAGTCAAGCAAACTAATATAGTATAAAATGTATTTAAATTATTAAGAATTCAAAAACTTTAACGTAACATCAAAATCTAAAGCATATGATTTTTAATAATTATGTTTTATAAAATATAATTTGTGTGAGGTGAAAATGTATTAATGTTTTTAGATATAGTATAAGACGTATTGTAAGTTAAATTATTCAAAATCTATGTTTGTCTATCATATAAATTACGCAATATAATTATTAAAATATTCGTTTAGGATTCGTTAAGTATTCAAGTAATAATCAAATACAAATTCAAACCTTATTTTTAATTCGTCTCATATTCGGATTCAGATTCGTATTCCAAAAAATTAAGCAAATACAAATTCAAATATCTCGATATTCGCTCCGATTCGATTCGTTTACACCCCTAGTCCCGGGGACTTTTATTTATTTCTACGTTTTCATTAGTTATTTGATAAAATAAAATATTCTTAACACCTCTTATTTCGAATAACTTTTCAGGTAGTTTTTTGATATGTAAATTTTATTTTTTTTATTTCTATATTAATATGTAAATAAAATGAATTGAGAAAACTTGAAATTTTACCTCGTTGTAGAAGTGTGACAAATATTTAAGGACGAAGGGAGTAAATAAAATAAAAGACTGCTCTCTCCAACTTACTACTTAATTTTATTAGAATCAGATAAGAAACACAACAGTTTAAATTATAATTTAAAAAAATGAGAATTGAACCGAATCAAATGAGAGGAGTAATTAGAAAAGTCGAGGATAACAAGTCCTAGGTGTGGAGGGGTCCAAATAATTCTTCGTCGTCTTCTTCTTCTTGGGTGCAACATAATAAATCATTCAGTTGAAACAAATTTTGGGAGCGCATGCGATCCTCAGACAGCCCTGCGGCATTCATGCCCCTCGAATATTCAATCATATACACATACATCTCAAACAACACAAAGCCTCCATACCTTTTGAGCCATGGTGTTAAACTAACAAATCTCAGCATGCACTCGAATCCTCTCACCAATTTACCCTCTTCCTGGTAGTGACAAGCAAGTATCAACCAAATCCCTCTGACCCAAGGCTTATTTTCCCTTGTCCAAGCTTCGGCCATTCCCTCCGCTTCCACAGAGCGGTTCTTCTTGCAGTATCCGTCGATGATCAGCTTGGAAAAGTTCAAACAACCATGGAGATGGAGACTACTACTAGTCAAGTTGCCAGAAGATGCTTCCCACTCCATCGCCGTCTTCCTAGCCTCATCAAACTCCCCAGACTCCACTAGTGATTTTATTACACCCTCATAATAATCCATGTTTTTTACTGCTTCTTCTTCTTCTGCTGCTGCTGCTTGGGTGGTGGTGGTGGTGGGGGGGTGTACCAGTACCGCAGCTGTGAGCGTGTATTTCGCGTTGATTGGAACGAGTTCAAAGAATGTTTTGCCTCCAGCAGTTCTGAGTGATGACACCGCGCAGCAGCACAATGACCTTCCACCGCTGGAGGGGAAAAATGATCCACACTCTTCTTCCAGGTATTGGAAAAACGACCTCTGAAGCGCTAGAGGTCCATACACAATCGCACCCTTTCCCTGAAAGCATGAATATGCATCAAATAGATCGCCCGCTTTAAGCAATCCGTTGCAGAGTAAAAGTGAAAGTCTGTCGATGCCAGCCCTCCCCTTGCTTTCCCACTCCCAAATCATTCTGTAAGCTGCCCTTAGTGAAGATTCAGAACCATTTTTTATGTACTCCTCAATGATTGTGCAAGGAATACTAATATCACCCACAGTGCACCAATTACCCAGCGATTCCCACTCCGTAGCAAACCTCATAGCCTCACCAAACTCGCCAAGCTTCACCAGAGACTTTATCACATTCTCATAATCACTATTTATCAAATTGTGGCTTCGATCACCACCACCACCATCATCATCATCATTCTTATTCTTATTCTTATTCTTTTGTAATATCACCCTAGCCTTTTCAAGAGCATTGGCGGCCTTATCTACAAGGAATTCTCTATCATAGAAGTCGGCTACCACGGCGTAAGTACACCAGTCCATGACAATGTGGGGTTGACTCTCCATTTCTCTCAGCATTCTCTCCATCCCATCCACATCATAGTTTAACCCAAATGAACTAATGCAGATTCTGTAACTATCATTATCGGGTGAAACCCCGCTCTTCTTCATCCCGGCTAACACCTCAAGGACCTTATCAACTTGGAGACTTTTGGCATAAAGGTGCATGATTTCATTGAATGGGCGAGGCGACGACACAAAACCCAACTCTTTCATCTTCTGAAAATGAAATAAAGCCTTTTCTCTTCTGTGTTTAT